TGGCGCGGTCTCGTCTCTGATAACTGTAACATTGAACTTCTTTGGCTTCTTGTTTCCAGACTTAGTCCAATAATCAATTGCATCCAAGAATTTAGCCAAATGAGAGCTCCATCCCTTAATCATATCTCTCAAATAAGACAATGATATGTAATTTATCATGCTGCCATATACTATTGTCTTTAGGGATGGGAGCTGAAGCTCGACGAGAAGCCAATGAGTACGGTCCAAAACAGGGATAAACACTTGCATCGAAATGTAATAATTCAAATTGCGCACTTATTTATGAACACCTTTAAAATATTTAAACAAATATACTAACCTTATCGACATCCCACCATGCAGGATAAAGTTTAGCTTGTCCATTAGCCAACACATATGATTCATGTCGTTGATTCTTCAAGTAAACTACGTGAAAAGACATCGGCATAATTGTATATCACGTTTTTTTAATATTTTTCTTCAATTTCCTTACAATTAGAAGACGTGTCACCCATGCATCAATATGTTGTTTTACAAAAAAAAAGACATATATTAGTGAATTACATAAATTTTAAAAAAAATTAATCAAACTGAAATATAAGAAATATAAGACTTACCCCCCATCGAAATAGCCGTTGTCTTCAACCCCTAATAATACACCCCACCAAGATCATTCAATCAACAAATGCATATCATCGTTGAGTTTGTATATGTCAGCGTAACACCCATGGCTCCGCTCATGTAGATAAAAATCAACTGCGGTCTTAGCCCAAAGGGTATTATCCAGAATAGTTTCCAGTAGTTGTTTCCTCTCCACTTCATCTGCCGAAATGGTACTGGCCGATAACTTATACGAAAGCCAACAATCATCCATCATGTTCGGCACGTGAAGGGGCTTCTCAATAATTCGATATATTACGTCGTGTGAATCGGGCTCTAGAATGTTGGGAGGGACCTCTTCAACGATGACAGTGGCCTCTTGAACGGTGGGAGTGGACTCTTGAGGGATGATAGAGGCCTCTTGAACGATAGGGGAGGCCTCTTGAACGATGACAGGTGAGTCGGGCTTTTTCTTACGGATTCTTCGCACTATTGGGGTGAACGGAGACGTAATGGCACGTGCACGCCGTCTGATGCGTGAACTCTGTCTTGCAAGAAAAACCCGACGTAGAGCATGCACCTTAGCGGGCCACTAAAAATAAATTAATACATAAATCAGTAAATAAACAGACATGATATTAAACAGTGAGAACAAAGACAAATATATTTCAAACTTGCACGGTATTCACCCAAGTCATTATTATATCATTGTTAACAAAATGCATCAGATAACATTCCAGAAGTAAGCACTTATATAAACATTTAAAAGGACAATATATAGCTTTAGTGCAGGTTCAATGACAACATAAAGAGTAGTAGTTTATTCTTGAAACTTAAATTTTCAACACTGTGAAGTTAGTATTTATCTTTTGGTTGAAGTAATGCAATTCATTCAAGTTTTAATTTGCAGAAGAAGAATAGAATCTGCAAATGACTATCGCAACGCGAAAATGACTATCGCAACGAGAGAATCGCAATGCGAAATGAAAATCGCAACAACAAAATCGCAACGCGAAAATGACTTTCGCAATGCGAATTTGACTATCGCAACGAGAGAATCGCAATGCGATTTTCATTTCGCATTGAGATTCTTTCGTTGCGATAGTCATTTTCGCATTGCGATAGTCATTTTCGCATTGCGATAGTCATTTTCGCATTGCGATTCTCTCGTTGCGATAGTCATTTTCGCATTGCGATAGTAAACTATTCTTCTTCTGCAAATTGAAACTTGAATGGATTGCATTACTTCAACCAAAAGACAACCAAAAACAAATACTAACTTCACATGGTTAAAGAATAAACAGTTAAACAGTATTGGCAGCAACCGAATGAATTTACTAAGCAATCTAAGTGAAATTACGAGTAAATTTATCATCAAGTTAAATATGAAAAATATTAAACTTACCTCGTTGCGTAGAGTATGAACCTCATTCTGTAACGATGCTACAATCTCACGTAGAGCTGCTACCTCACTACGTAAAGTAGACACCTCAACTCGCCATGCACCATTGTCATCGCGTAAAGTACTGACCTCCTCACGCAAGGCATTGACCTCATTACGTAACTCCCCTAACTCATCCCGTGGAGGTGGAGGTGGAGATCAGGGAGATAAATGTCGTGGCATCTTTACCGGTCGCCTATCATGAGGTGATGGTGGAGAAGAGGCTCGATGATGTGACAGAATATGTGATGACTCTCGTTGTAGAGGTGTATATTCGGGTCGATCAGGTGATGGCTCTGGGTGAGGTGATGGCTCTCGAAGTGGTGGCTGCTCATCATCCGTGCCATAAAAAAAAGCTTACTAGCTTGCCACCAATTAGTGGCAAGCTCAGCTTCCGTGGGTGTCAGCCTCTGTAATGGAGTGTTGGCCTCCTAACAATATAAAAGCTCAAACAAAGTTAAATGTGTACTAGTAATAACTTGTTTATAAACATATGGTAGTATTTGTGTTAACTTACATTATTTATTGTAGTATACGGTAGTAAATATTCCCATTGTTGCAAGGACCATTTCCTCTTCCAGGAAATAGCCATAGGAATATCATTAGAAGTTTTTAATGCATATGTCTGCATGGCGGGAAAGGCCTCAAATATCCAAATCTACAAACAATATAATAACAAACATTAGTAATTGTTAAAGAATTAATTATAATTTTGGAAACATTATATAAAAATTATTACCTTAAAGGCCCAAATAAAGCCTGACAAAGTGTATTTGGAACCATCGCCACGCAAACTTTTTCGATCATTAAAGGCAGACGACAACTTATTCCATGTAGCTCTCCATAGATACGAACCCCACGGAAATAGGTTCCATGCATTTAGGTCCTCTACCAATTTAATTAGATCATTAGGAATAGGTTGTCGGGCCTCTCTGCCTAAAAAATCGGCTTGCAAAAGTATTAGAAGGCATACTCGGACAACATCGACGTCATCCATCCGAGTAAAACCATCTTTCTTATTCAATAATCTCATCAAGTCTTCCACGTGTAAATTCGACTTCTCCGTTGACTGCTCAGGAAAAACCTGGGAAAACCATGATAGGCGGGTAATATGTCTAGTGTACCGATCTACATCATCGTGTCCGAAGCGTAGACCGGTGATTAAGCAAAACTCCTCCCGCCCAAAACACGTATACGCCGGAGGAAAATCAAACCATATCTCTTCATCACGACGTTGTATAGTCTCTGGTAGATCGTTAGTCATGGTTTGAAGAAACAGATGGGTCAACAAAGCATCTCCACCCGGATGTTGTACTTTCAGCCATGGCCCGAAGCAAGTATCCTCAAATATTTTTCTTTGTGCAGGTGAAAGCTTCGACGCAATTGTTTTGGCCAGGCTTACTTTATTTCTTAAGGTCAATTGAGCCGAATAAAAGTTCTGCAAAAATAATAAACATACCAATTTAGATATACCAAAAACTACACTGTGAAGATATGAACAATAAACATAAAGAGTAGTAGTTTAATCTTCAAACTTAAATTTGCAACACTGTGAATTTAGTATTTGTTTTTTGGTTGAAGTAATGCAATTCATTCAAGTTTCAATTTGCAGAAGAAGAATAGTTTCTGAAACTTTAAATCGCAACACGAAAATGAAAATCGCAACACGAAAATGACTATCGCAACGCGAATTTGACTATCGCAACGCGAAATGAAAATCGCATTGCGATTCTCTCGTTGCGATAGTCAAATTCGCATTGCGATAGTCATTTTCGCATTGCGATTCACTCGTTGCGATAGTCATTCTCGGTTTCAAATACTAAAATTGAAAGAAACTTGAATGGATTACATTACTTCAACTAAAAAACAAAATAAAGACAAATACTAATTTCACAGGGTTAAAGACTAAACAGTTTAGCAATATTGGCAGCAATCGAATGAATATAATAAGCAATCTAAGTGAAATGGTTAATCTATTATTGAAAACACCAGTAAACTTATCATCAATTTCAATATGAAAAACCTAATAATAATGCAAAAATTTCAAAATAAAAATAATTAAAAAAACTAACCCTCGGTGGTTGATTTGGTTGCTTTTCCATTTCTGACCGTGAATGATTTCGCCGGAGATAGAGACTGTTATCGTCGTGGGGACTGATTTCGTCGGAAATGGGGACGGATGTCGCCTTAGAGAGTGAGAGATGGAGATGAGACTGAGTTGTGATTTAGGGTTTTAGGTTATGAGTTACGATTACGGGATATACTGTGGACGATTCAATGTTCCGATATTTTAATATATTCGTGTTTGGAATTTGAAAAAAAATACGCGTTAATACGAATGGCGCTATGTAAATCGCATTGCGATTTACGTATTCGCATTGCGATTTACGTAATCGCATTGCGATTTTCCAAATTCGCGTTGCGATTTACGTATTCACATTGCGAATTAGGAAAATCGCAACGCGAATTTGGGAAATCGCAATGCGATAGTCAGAATCGCGTTGCGAATCTGGAAACTGATTTGCGATACCGGAGATCGCGTTGCGAATTATCGATCGGATTGCGATTTAGTTGGTCATTTTGGCAAATCCAAAAAAAGTTGGTTAAAATCGTATATTATAAGGCATTTTTGGTCACTGAGGTTATTTTCTCTAAATTATAATTACTACAAGATTTAAAATAAAAAATATGTTTAAATTAAATTTTTATTTTTAAATTTTTATTTTTATAATTACACATATAGTGTCATTAAATTATATTTTTAGTTTAATTAATAACTTTAAAATTTTATATTTTTATTTAAATGTACATCTACATATGTAACTGAAGTATAACTTATTAAAAGTAAAGTGAATTTAATGTCTGTAGTCCCCTTTTAGATTCACACAGTGTTGGCATCGTCCTTCCCTATAAATAGGGATGGACATTTAACATGGATAATACATCCTTAGGCAGCTCATTTCCTTATTTGATTGGAAATCATATCTTTTACAATTATGTCAATCTTTTTCATCTTACTCGTTTTCGTCACTTTTGCTTTGCGTTACCACTTCAAATCCCAACAGCAAGGCAAGCTCCAAGAGGCTAAGCAGCCTTCTCTTCCGCCAGGCCCTAAACCTTGGCCGATTATCGGAAACTTACCCGAATTAATCAGATACAAGAAAAAAACTTCGGTGTCTCATTGGGTACACAGTTTCATGAAAGAAATGAACACCGATATAGCTTGCATTCGCCTAGGAAACGTTCATGTGATTCCCGTCACTTGTCCGGAAATCGGTCGAGAGTTCTTGAAAAAACAGGATGCTGTTTTTGCTTCCAGACCGCTTACAATGGCCACTGATGTGCTTTCGAAAGGACACTCAACCTCCGCTTTTGCACCCTTGGGAGATCAGTGGAAGAAAATGAGGAAAGTTATGGTTAGCGAGATGCTTTCAAAGGCAAGGCATCAAATGCTTTACCAGAAAAGAGTTGAAGAAGCTGATAACCTCGTGTATTACGTTAATAACCAATGCATAAATTCCAATGAAGGTGGCCTTGTGAACTTAAGAGTGGCTTCCCGACACTATTGCGCCAATGTGACGAGGAAAATGTTGTTCAACCGGAGATACTTCGGAGAAGGGAAAGCAGATGGTGGACCTGGTTATGAGGAAGAAGAATACGTCGAAGCCATTTTCACTACTCTTGCTCATATTTATTCCTTTTGTATATCCGATTACTTACCGGTTTTGAGAGCCCTGGATCTGGAGGGACATGAGAAAATAATGGAGGCAACTAGGGTTATGGACAAGTATCACCATCCCATAGTTGAAGACAGGATTCGACAACGGAGAGATGGCAAGAAAGACGAACTCAATGACTTGCTAGATGTTTTGGTTTCTTTGACCGATGACAACGGCAACCCACTACTGTCGACGACCGAGATCAAAGCAGAAATCTGTGTACGTCTTTCCTTCTCTCTAGTTGTTTTTAACGTGATATAACACAAACACATGCACGCATACTGTACATATTATCTAGTATATATATATTGATAAGCTTGTAAATTTTCAGGAAATGAATCTTGCTGCAGTGGATAATCCATCAAATGCCTTAGAATGGGCACTAGCTGAGATGTTGAATAAACCTGAGACGCTACAAAAGGCCAAAGATGAATTGGATAATGTTGTTGGAAAAGATAGGTTAGTTCAAGAATCTGATTTCCCAAAACTGAACTACGTCAAGGCATGCGCAAGAGAAGCCTTTAGACTCCACCCCATCTCACCATTTATCCCTCCTCATGTGTCCGTGGCCGATACAACAGCGGCCGGCTACTTCATCCCAAAGGGTAGCCATGTGGTCCTTAGCCGGGAAGGGCTTGGTCGAAATCCTAAAGTTTGGGACAATCCAAGCGAGTTCAAGCCAGAACGTCACCTCCAGGGTTGTAATGAAGGCGAAGAAGTGGTGCTTGCAGAGCCGGAGTTGCGGCTCTTATCGTTCAGTAGAGGAAGGAGAGGGTGTCCAGGGGTGGTGCTCGGAAGTTCGATGACTACCATGTTGTTTGCCAGGCTTTTGCATGGCTTCGATTGGAGCATACCAGCGAATCAGGGAACCATTGATCTTAGCCAGCCAATGGGAGAATCGTTTCTGGCTAAACCGTTGGTTGCTGTTGCAAAGCCACGGTTGTCACCCCACGTCTACCCTTGTTCAAGTTAAATCACAGTGACCGATAAATATGATGATCAAAGTAACGGTAGAAATAAAAGAAGGATGAATATCACCTTCTGTAGAAACTAATAACTCAGCTCGTAAAGGTTAGTGTGATGATATGTATTTTAAAGTATAAATAAATTATATGTATTTCCTTAGTGATTTTTTTTTCTATGTATGAAAGAAAACAACATTCTGGAATTTACTATAATTCATTGCTCATGTAAATTATCAAAACATTTTATCCACGGAGATGGAGACATCACAATCACAATGCGCCTGTTCATTGAGGAACACTTTTAGTTGAGATTAAAGCACATTTTAAATAATTGTTGTTAGTGAAATATTTTTTAAATGGATAGAGTTTAAATTGCGTAAACAATTTTATGTTTTTCATATTTATTATTATTTTTTAAAAATATTTTTGGAATCATACCTAATTAAATAAATGATATTTAAATTGTGTAAATAATTTCATATTTTTAGGTTTATCATTATTTTGAAAATTATTTTTAAAATCATAAACAAAAATATACCTTCGTTGGCTTTTACACCTTTTGAAAGCTCAACATAACGGATCGAATAAGCTGTAGTCTATGCCGAGAATAACGAGAACGTGATAATCCGAATTTCTTCTTAAAATAATTTTTTCTTTTGAAAAACTTGAGTTCAAATAAATGCATCTACAGTGTGTATGTATTGTCAATTGTCTATTAACACGAAAGGTAAGTATTTCTGAAATTTCAATGGAAAATTATTGATGTTTACACTAAGAATCAATACAATAATATAGCACTCGAAAAAGGAAAAACGAAACGAAACAAAACAAAACAAAATTAGCTTCTAATGCCATATCGGTGGTAGTAACAGTAACTCATTAAGTACAGAACAAGTTGGAGCATGCAGTGCGTAAATATGAAGAAAATATAAGAGGGATTAGACTCTGGAAGTTCCAAGCTTTCGTTCAAACATGCGTTTCAAAAGGAAAATTTGAAGGATGCTTGCGGCTACAAGTGCAACTGATTCCAGCATTGCCTTGTGAAGTGCTCGTCGCCCCATGTTATCATTCACTGCACAACATATTACGTTCAAAAATGTCGAAATGGTGACATTCAGATCAAAACCTACTATGTCGTCATGTATTCCCTGCGAGCTATGAGAAAGATTGCATGTGCCATGCACGTCAACACACTGGGCATCCGAGGCCATCCGTCCGAGGCTATCCGAGCGAGCTATGCGAGGGCATCCGAGGGCAAGAGGAATCACGCGAGGAGCAGGAGGGAGTGCATGGCGACCTACAAGGTTGCCCGGAGTGTATGGCGACCTACAAGGTCGCCCGGAGGGCATGGCGACCTATGCTTAGGGACATGCATGGCTGGTCACGTAGTAGGTCGTCCGGAAGGCATGGCGACCTACGGCCAACACTATAGATTTCACCCTATTTGAGTAATTAATCTTGAGAGAGCATTGTCTCGTGAAATAATTTGTTCAAGAACGTTATGTCGAGAGTTTACCCGTCTGAGCCTCGAGAAAATGCTGCTCGAATTGAATGTTGTAAAGGGAAAACAGAATGGAACCGATCATCTAAATTCACCATCTTTTGCATGCTGATGACTGTACGTAAAATGCCCCACTTTTATATCAAAATCAATGGTTTCATGATACGGAGATTTGTTAGAAAAGCAGAATCTGTAAACCCCTTTCTTGTGGACAACAAACTCGTACTTCTCACTTACTCTGTTACGAAAATCATGAATCTGGTCCCCTGATGGTCCCGTTATCTGCCCATCTCACCATTAATTAATTCACAATAAAAAGTAAAACCTGGAATCAATCAATCTGATGATTAAACGATTTCAAAGCCAGAAAAGAGGAAAAAAAGAAGAAAGGTTACCACAAGATCGACGCCTTCGTTGTTAAAATTCCAAGGGGCATCAGACTTAATTACGACGTAAGAGACGTGAACAGTGTCGCCTTCGTACTTGACGTCATGGGACAAACATTCTTCTCTGTCTATCACGAATCTCACCCCTTCCGCTACGTTTAAGCTCCATAGGAAAAAACCCATTGCTACCCATGCAATTTCGCTTCTTTTCCCGTCATCTCTACGAAACAAGAACATAATCCTACAGCTTTAGATCATTGGTGGTTGTTGTTTTTAACATGACAAGAGAAAGAGATAATAAGAAAAAATTAACCATAATTAGTAATACCTAGAAGATGTGTTTACTCGCTGAAATTTGATATGTTTGAACCTCCCAAAAAATTGATTAAATTGGAAAGTTCCCTGCTTTAGAAACCGGAACAGAACATAAGAAACTCGTAACTGTTGGTTAGTTTGACCGCAAATATTTGTCCTTGGCTGAGGTTTCTTTTGTTTCTCACAATACTAAACGATGTCGCTTCAATGGGCGCTTTTGGTCTCCATCTTTTAGGCTTGCGTGTCCTAATATCTTTGGATTATTTTCCTTCACATTCTTCTATCCAAACATATAGTCTAGCTCTAAAGCTCGCCGTTTCGGATCCACTTTGTCTTTTTCCAAGCCGCATCTCTAGCAGCTAGCTTTCACTAGTTCCATCTTCTGATGCTTTATCATGGGTTCTGAAATATCAAAGCTCAAATTTTGAGAATTTTTTAAAAATTGTTTCTCACAATGTCTGCAACCACCAACCTCATCTGTTGTAGCTTCTCTCACGTACCTCAAAACTCTTCGAAGTTCAACACTTTAATCCGAGCTAGAAACCTTAGCCAACAAAGTCCCTTACTTTACAAAAGGAACTCGAATTTCTCAGTATTTCTAAATCCCCACAATCACAAGCCTTTAATTTCCCCATTTCAGCAAAAGGGTGTTCTTCAAATATGTAAGAGTACCTTAAACACCCAGAATTCAGAAGAAGAAAGGGGTCAGGATAAAGGGCTTTCGGATAATAATAACAATAAAGAAGGAAGGGATTGGACGACCTCGATTTTGCTTTTTGTGTTGTGGGGTGCTCTCATGTACTATGTTTTCAATCTCACACCTGACCAAACCCCGGTATTTTCCAAACCCAACTTCTTGTTCTTGTTATATATATGTGTACATTTCTTTTCTTTTTTTAATGGTGACTGCATTTCTTGTGTTCTTTGATTTGGAATTGAGATGAAATTTATAGTAAAGTGGCTTTCATTACTCAAAATAGCTTGCTTTTTCTTGGATGCAGCCTTTAGTATTCTGATTTATGTGCTGGTTTTCTTTCCTTGCTGTGGTTATTGTTAATCATTTTCTGAACAATAACATCATTGCTAAAGCTTGGGTTTCAGATGTCATGTTCATTGGTTACACTTGTTCTCCAGAGAAGTTTCTTCACGGCCTTTTGACAGTTTAAGTTTTCCATTTCCTTTTGCTATACTTGTTTCTGCATTCATATGTGGTGCTTGTGTTTGTTTTGCATGCTAATTATGACTTATATAGAAATGTTAATAACATATGAACATGATGATGTGATATCACGTTCTCCGGGTTATGCCTAAGGCTGGCTGGCTGAGAGTTACATATTTAGAAATTCATGAAGTAATAAAGTTAACATCTGCATTGTGTCCTTAACATGGGATTGTGAACTCTTTGCAGTCAAGGGACATGTATTTTTTGAAAAAGCTACTGAATTTGAAGGGAGATGATGGTTTTAGGATGAATGAAGTACTTATCTCCCTGTGGTACATCATGGGATTGTGGCCATTAGTGTACAGCATGCTGCTACTTCCAACAGGCAGAAGGTGCCTTCAACTTCTCTCACTACTTCCCTTATCTGAACATCTTATCTCCGTCATGTTATCCTTGTGTTGAAATCGATGATAATTGATTATATATTCTTACAAATGGAACATGCAAAAGGACTGAGGGACATAGTAGAATTATTTGAATCGATGATGATTTAGTTTTGTTGCATTTATTTCTGAAGCAAATGTAATAGGATTCGGGTTCAGCACACTATCTAATAGGTCTAAACTTTGACATATTAGTAGGGGACCCTATGCTGCCAGTTGTAGTTATCGAGACTTGAATCCATGGCCCGTCTTATTGTTGTGCCAAGAGGCTCATTCTCTTCATTGTGTTAACTCGTTCAATCAGTCTAATTGTAGTTAAGATATTATATATCTGCAGCTCAAAAAACAACATTCCCACCTGGCCGTTTCTAGTACTTTCATTCTTTGGTGGTGCATATGCTCTTTTACCATATTTTGTTCTATGGAGTCCACCACCACCACCTGTTGAAGAAAATGAACTCGGAAAGTGGCCTTTGAATTTTCTGGAATCAAAATTAACTGCTGGGGTAAGTACTTCTATTTCTCCCCTGCATACAGTATCCTCATATTTGAGCATCTATAACCAAACTGTTAATTTCCATAAAATTTAATAATGTGGGATAAAACCACTTTGTTTCATTGATAAAAGTAACAAAAAAATTGTTTTGGTGCAAAAATGTAAAATAACTTCATTACACATCAGGTGTCACTTGCTGCGGGAATAGGTTTAATCATTTATGCAGGTTTAGCAGATGCTGATATTTGGAGAGAGTTTTATCAGTATTTCAGGGAAAGCAAATTTGTAAGATCGTTGATCTTTTGAGTACTCATGAAGGATTGTGATTGTCTTGACAGTATGCTGTTATTATGTCAAGGAACTCGAAATATATTCATGCTGAGAATCAATTCTCTATGTTGCAGATTCACATCACGACCCTAGATTTTACTCTACTATCTGCATTTGCTCCTTTTTGGGTTTATAATGATATGACTGCCCGTAAATGGTAAGAAAATAGAGAGATTATTATGCCCTTTCTTTGAATCTAAAGTTCAAAACCGATAAAAGGTGTTTATTTGGCATGGCATAAGTTGCTGGAATGCTTTTCCTATTTGCAGGTATTACAAAGGTTTTTGGCTTCTTCCCTTATCATTGGTGCCATTCATAGGTCCTGCACTTTATCTTGTCTTACGGCCATCACTGTCAGATTTGCCTGTAACAGTTAGTACAACTACTTCCAAGCAAAATTAGAACTTAAGCTCCACTTCTTCTGGTGATGAACTT